AGCTGACACTTTTGAGCGATTTAATCTGTTCCCAACAGCCTGGCATGAGTAGAGATCGACAGAGACGAGTTCTTGACTGGAGAACGAAGTGCCAGGGCGAAAGTGAACAAAGACGCCAACCAAGTCGTCTGGTGATCCACGACATCAAACACGCGGTCAACTTGGTGAACGACAACATCAAACCCATGCACAACACAGTGAACAACGACGCCAATACACAGAATTGGTGCCAATCACAAAATCAGCAGGGAGAAAAAGTAAAAAACGAGGTAATATGTATTCGTTGCCATAAACCCGGCCATGTGAAATCTATTGTCCAGCTAAGCCCCAACCTTTAGGTAAAATAAATATCCTCCCTTTTGAGATGAACTAGAAAGTAGTGTGTGGTATGGTTCCATACTACAGTACTTGCCATATCTCCCTTCAGGAGAATTCAAAGAAAACTTAAGTAAGAACATTTAGGAATACCGGGGCTTATTGTTCTCTTATCATAGAGTACTTCCCTCTCTGAAAAAAAACGTCATTGCACTCCTCAGTTCTTTTAGAAGCATTTGGAGGAGTGGTATTTTCTGTCCCTTTACATAGAATATATGTGCAGGGTAAATATTACACTGGATATTTGACTGTAGATATTTCTGAGGGATTCCCTATGAAAGATGCTGTGTTATTACTGGGTAATAACATTCTTAATTCCAAAAAATGTCCAGAACCTATAGTGACTAATTCATTTCCGATGTTGGCCATAACTCGGGAAAAATCTCAAGGGATGTTGTTAAGAATGCTGACCCATCCTTGGACGACTCTGATCTAGGACTAGTCAATTTGTTTTACGAGGAAAACTGGTCAGACCCTCGTAAATTTAGTGAACAGACCCAGATCAAGCCTTCTTATTCCAGGGTTGCAGGATTGCCAGATATCTCTGTTTCCATGCCCGAGAGACTGTCTTGTCGGGAAGAACAGTAAAAAAAAAAAAATCCTTCTTTAAACTTTGCTTTTCAGACAGCCATAGGTAAATCCCACTCAGATTCCCCAGTCAAATGTAAAATTAAAAACAATTTATTGATCTGCACAAAGACTGGTAAGGAGGTAGAGGGAAGGCAAAAGACAGATAGATTGGTAGTTCCTACAAAGTTTAGATCACAAATATTAAATTATTTTTATTTTTTTTATGAACACATCGGCCCGTTCCCATCAAGGCAAGGTGGGTAGAGAAACAAAAAAAAACTTTCATCATTCACTCCATCACTGTCTTGCCAGAAGGGTGCTGCAACATTAACACCCCTCCTTCAGAGTGCAGACACTGTACTTCCCATCTCCAGGATTCAAGTCCAGCCTGCCGGATTCCTTGAATCCCTTCATAAATGTTACTTTGCTCACACTCCAACAGCATGTCTAATATTAAAACCCATTTGTCTCCATTCACTCTTTTCAAATATGCTCACGCATGCTTGCTGGAAGTCCAAGCCCCTCGCACACAAAACCTCCTATACCCCCTCCCTCCAACCTTTCCTAGGCTGACCCCTACCTTGCCTTCCCTCCATTACAGATTTATACACTCTCGAAGTCATTCTGTTCCGTTCCATTCTCTCTACATGTTCAAATCACCCCAACAACCCCTCCTCAGCCCTCTGGATAAGTTTCGGTTATCCTGTACCTCCTCCTAATTTCCAAACTACGAATTCTCTGCATTATATTCACACCACACATTGCCCTCAGACATGACATCTCCACTGCCTCCAGCCTTCTCCTCATTGCACCATTCATCACCCATGCTTAACACCCATATATTAAATATATCTCACAAGTCTTAATTAGGAGGATACTTAGGAATTACCAAAACCTTGTACAGAATACTAAAAGAGTTTTACTGGCCAAAAATAAGGCAAGATGTGAAGAATCATATCCACTGTTGTAGAGAATGTCAGCAAGTAGGAAAATCTGGGCACTCCATTAGACCTGCATCAATTCATCCCATACCTGCAGACGGAGAACCATTTGCAAAGTTGATCATTGATTGTGTGGGTCCATTACCCAAGTCCAAGTCTGGAAACCAGTACTTGTTCACTATTATGGAGAAAGCTACTAGGTATCCAGAAGCAGTCCCAATGCACAGTATGAATACCAAAGCCATTCTTAAAGCCCTAACTAAATTTATATCCTATTTTGGCATTCCCAAGTCTATCCAGAGTGACCAGGGTACTAAATTTTACTGCCAAAGCGTTTAGGGAAGCATTAACTAGGCTAAGAATAACTCATAAATTGTCCCTTGCCTATCATTCTCAGTCCCAAGGCGCCTTGGAAAGATTTCACCAAACATTAAAAACCATGATGAGAACTTATTGCATGCATTTTCCTACAGACTGACATGAATCACTTCCTCTGTTGCTGTTCGCAATAAGAAAAAGTGTGCAGGAGTCCACAGGGTACAGTCCGTTTGAGCTAATCTTTGGGCACAACGCACAAGGTTCTCTGCGAACGCTCAAGGAAGGATTGATGGAAGATACCTGCATAACACTCTACAACCCTTCTTCAGGGTTGCAGGTGGCCCGTCAGTTGGCTAAGGCTAACTTAAAGGCAGCTCAAAACACTGTGAAACAGAGGTATGACACAAACTCAAAGTTTCACTCCTTCAATCCAGGATACATGGTGCTGGCCACAACTTAAAAGCTAGATTTACGGGACCTATGCAAATTATAAGTAAACTATCTGATGTAAATTATTTGGTAGCTCCTCTTGATAAACCCTCAAAGAGTAAAACATAGCACATAAAACAGATTAAAGCATTTAATGGCCGAAATAAAGTCCCAGTAATGACTCTGTCCTCTGCCTCTGTAGACGACCTTGACTCCTTGTACCTTATTCTTGAAATTCAGGTAAAGCTTCCCAATTCTGTTCTCAAGGACCCTACCCCTTTAATGATGAGGATGTCATCATCAAGTAATAAGTTTAATTGCACTCATACAACCTTACCTTGACATATTTTCGGATATCCCGAAAAAATGTAAACTAGGATATCATGATGTGGATACTGGAAACTCTAAACCTATTAAACTCTTCCCTTACAGAGCTAATCCTGAAAAAGAGAGGCTATTTCAGCAGGAGGTAGCATTTCTGTTAGAACAGGATTAGTGGAGGAGTCATCTAGTCCTTGGGATTCACTGTGCATCCTTGTTAAGAAGTCTGATGGAGGTTTTCGATTGCGTACAGACTACCAGAAGGTGAATGAAGTCACTATTCCAGATGCTTACTGTCTGCCACATTTAGATGATTAGTGGACTTTGTGGGTAAGGCTATTTTTGTGTCTAAACTCGACCTTCTGAAGGTTACTATCACGTACCTCTGACAGACTAGGCGAAGGAAATCTCTGCCTTCGTAATTCCAGGTCGTCATTATCAATACACTGTAACCCCATTCAGGATGCGGAACTCGCTGGTATCGTTCCAAAAGCTGATCCATCAGGCTATTAAAGGACTTGAAGGCACGGCATTTTATCTAGATAATATCGCAGTGGTGGCCAATACATGGGACCAACATATATCCAGACTTTGAAAAATTTCAGTTTCCAGTTAACTATTAATTTGTGTAAGTCAACTTTTGGCCAATCTACTATTACTTTTTTGGGCCATGAAGTAGGTAGTGGTAAAGTGGCCCCTAAATTTGCTAAAATCCTTGCCATTAAAAATTACCCAATACCTCATGATAGGAATTCCCTCCAACATTTCTTAGGGATATTGCAGATATTGTTGCCCCCCCGTCCTAACCTCACTCACCAGTCAGAAAAACAAATTTCAATGAACCCCAGAATGTCATGACACTTTTAACGAAGGAAAATGGCTGCTTTGTACTGCACCCGTTCTCCTGTCTCCTGATTTTTCAAAACCCTTTACATTACAGGTTGATGCACGTGAGTCAGGGGTAGGAGCAGTACTCCTACAGAAATCTGGGGAAGAGTGCTTGTAGCTTGTGGCTTACTTCTCGGCCAAGTATCAACCTCACCAGACGGCCTACACAATAACTGAAAAAGAAGCCTTCTCTCTGATACTGGCATTAGAGCATTTCGAGGTCTACTTGGGGCAGTCGTCCCAAGTGGTCACAGTCTACAGTGATCACAATCCACTAGTCAACCTCAACTCCATGAAGAACCACAACACATGTCTGATGAAATGGAGTCTCAGGCTGCGACCTTATAACCTTAGAATTTTATATATTTCTAGCAAGGATAAAAAGCTGGCTGATTCTGTTTCCCATATGGGACTATATGGGTAGCCTGGCTCTTTTTTTTCCCCCTTTTGTTTATATGTGTATTAATGTTAATGGATTTTTTTTTTTTGGCGAGGGGACATTCTGCTACCGTCTGCAAGCGTCTTGAACCAACAAAAGGCACTACTGCTTTATGTCTCAAGAAAAGTTGAGCCCTATTTAATGAGTTGGATGGTTGAGAGGAAAGGCAGTTCCATTGTTCAGTGCCATGGCGGCACTCTACCCATGGAGGTGAAAGCTTAGTCCTGGCTATTAGAGCCCTTTTGGGGTGGGGTTGTGGCATGCAAAGAGTATGTTACAATTTATTCGGCATATGTACATACTCCCATATAGGCTACCTCCCAACCAGCGAACTGGGTGCTAAAGGCTATACGATTTTTTAGGGTACCCGTCATTAAATCAGTACCTTGGCTCATTGTCCAATCACAAGCGAGCCCGCCAAATGCTGAGGCGATGTGGTTCACTCACTGTCAGCATTTGCCGGACTTGCTTAGTGCTGGTTGATTACGGTGCTCTCTCTCTCTCTCTCTCTCTCTCTCTCTCTCTCTCTCTCTCTCTCTCTCTCTCTCTCTCTCTCTCTCTCTCTGGCTTCTGTTTTGCCATTCTTTGTCACCGTGTGGTACACTTAAATTCAACTCGTGTACATAAGTGTACATAACTGTATAAAAATATATCTCGTGAAGCAAATACAAGTTAAATATCACTGCTGAGTTTGATTGGCTCTCAAAAACCCATTACGATCAGGTTACAAGCCATTCTCTACCTGTGTTCGTAATAGTCTTCTCCACGATACTTTTAGTTTCACACTTACCGTGAGCGTCCCAGGGTTCATCCTTCACTCGCGCACTTGCGTCGAAGGCACCAGGCCTGTGGACATATTAAATTGTCTTACATAAGACTATTCGGTGGAGAGTGAGGGAGGGAGGGAGGGAGACAGAGAGAGGAGGGAGGGAGGGAGGGGGAGGGAGAGAGAGAGAGAGAGAGAGAGAGAGAGAGAGAGAGAGAGAGAGAGAGAGAGAGAGAAGAGGAGACTATGAGGTCAATAGTATTGCGCAACAGTCTGTGTGCAGAGAATAGTTGAGAGGTGTTCATTTTGTGAGACAACTCAATGAGTTGAACTTGGAAAAAAAAACAATGCACTGGGGAAATGAGAATGTGATGTACACAATATTAAAGATAAATGATGAGACATGTTAAAATAGACTGAAATGCCAGGAATAGGACTCAGGGGCACACACATTAGAAACATTTTAGTCTCAAGGTAGTTGTGGAAATTTATTTGATCTCCCAAAAATTCCATGGACAGGTTCACAGTAAATGAGCTTTACAAGCCCTTAACATCCACCCAAACACTAGTTGGCGGAGGCAGTGAGATTGTACATACCAATTGATAGATTTACCCTAAAAGGAAGGTTTAGGTAGGATTATACTGTTAGCAACTAATATTAGAATTAGTGAGGTAACCTTAGATATTAATAATGTAGCCTTAGACCATAATATAAGCAAATATTAGGTTATATTAGATAAGGTGAGCTAGCAACCCCCATGCCTGAACGGAGGCTCGAACAGGTCAGATGCTAGCTCGTCCTTCTTGAATGAGATACCGTGGTGACAACAAGGTACCAGGCGAAACAGTTCAGTGCCCCACTTGCCTTCAAAATACTTGGCCTGTGTAACAATGAATCATAGAGGCTTCCCCGAAGTACTGATGATATTCGTCTTTATCCAGGCTCTTGCAGTTAGACAAAACCTTTCATTTCTCTTAGTAAAATTGGCCAACGATAATCTGAGGAAGGTGGGTTATTTGAGCTTTGGGTTATGTGTCGGCAGACACCCACAGATACGGCAATATTAGCAAGCATCTCCTCTTAAGTTATTAGTCTAGAAGCTAGTGTTACTGCATAAATGTTGCTTAGAACATGCCCATTCAAATCAGGTATCTCTAAGGTGCAGGCGGGGATACTGATACCATCCAAATTCTTGCAGGAGTAAGTCCTTCACTGCACGTTAGGTGTTTTGAAGAAAGGGACCAGAAGCATCTAGGTTGCTTGTAAATCTAATTATATACTGTGATTTACAGGCAGGCCAGAGTAGGCTAGTTAAGCAATGGATTTTAATTATAGTGAATTTGCAAGACAGCCACAGTTAGGTTACACCTTCGCAATATTTGCAACGATTATAACAGCTAGCCCCGATTTAGCCTGGTTATTTACAGTGAATTGCAAAGCCAGATTTAGGCTATAGTTGCACACTAATTTTAACAGTTATATAAAATTAGGTTAGGATTAAACAAGCTAGGCAAAGTTAAGCCAAGTTACATACACACAACATTTATTACTCACTGTTTCATAAGTTGAACTGCTGAATTAAATTTATGCTAACCAAGTAAATTTTAATCTTGCAAAGACTACATTTTGTACTGGGTGAATTTCATTGCTATTGGCTGACATTAATGTGGGATTTGTGATTTTCACCAGATGCCACCTTAAGTTTTCTATTTACTGGCGTTGTACAGAAAATTGTTAGATTAAGCTGTTTTAACAACGATATCCATTTCAGTTAGGTTTGAGGGCTGACAGTGTGCATTTTGATCCCAAGTCAAGCCAATATATGATAACGAAAATCGTTAAGCTTATCGAAGAGGTTCAAGGCTAATTTGTTCTTACCTAATTCCGTGTCATGCTGTGGGGTGGGCTAATTAAAGTACGAGCTAGCGCCGCACTCTAACTAGAACACAATAATGACAGGAAAGAATTAGAGCCCATTACAGTGTTAACAAAGTTAAAACGGTCAGTGGCTGCGTGTAAACGGCATTTGAACAGAGCACACAAGAAGTGCAGAGATACTAGTCAACACGGTAATGTAGGTTGAAATTATTTACAAGGCTACTTGAAGCATTTAGGAGAAAAATGGGAGGCCTACAAGCATTCTCAGTATATGACCTGTCAAAGGAGGTTCCTTGACGCTGGTGAGGGGCTCTTGATCTAGGGAATTGGATTTGTGCTCCGGTTCCCTGAATTGAGCCTGAATACCCTCCACCCCCACAGGCGCTGTATAATCCTAAGGGTTTAGCCCTCCCCCATGATTGTAATCTCAGTATACGAGCAACAGGCTATTGAGGATAATAAGCCCCACGATAGTCTTGAGCAAGCTCAGGATGAATTCTACAATGATAATGAGGAGTGTCACGAGGAGATGGATGCGTACAATGATAAACTAGAGGCATTGAAGGCTAGTATACCAAGTAGGGTGACTAACACTGCCGGGACCACGAGCAGCCACACGACTGTTAATATGTTGCTCAGACTGCCCCAATTGAATTTACCAGCATTTGAAGTTATGAGTTTGACAGATAGTCTCACAGATACGGTAAAATTAGCGGGCATCTCCTCTTATGCATTAGTCTAGAAGCTGTGTCACTTAGTGCATAAATGTTGCTTAGGGCATACCCATTGAAATCAGGGATTTCTAAGGTGCAGGCAAGGGATACTAATACCATCTGAATACTTGCAGGAATAAGTCCGTGTTTTGAAGAGAGGGACCAGAAGTATCTAGGTTCCTTGGGTAGAATCCGGGAATTTCTAGTAGCATATTCTCCACTACCAAGTAAGTCAATCCTTTGTTTGTGCGTGTAGTTAGGAATTTCTTGCAAGATTAGTTGCATATGGAAATGTCCTAAAAGATACTTGTGAGATTGAGGAGACTAATCTCAGGGTGCCTGTGTCAACAGTACTTGCTAGGGTGAGAAGCTTACAAGGAGGCAGTCCAGGCACAATTTCCACAGTACTAGGACTCAGGGGACACAGACGTTAGAAAACATAGTCTCAAGGCAGTACTAGGACTCAGGGGACACAGACGTTAGAAAACATTATAGTCTCAAGGCAGTACTAGGACTCAGGGGACACAGACGTTAGAAAACATAGTCTCAAGGCAGTACTAGGACTCAGGGGACACAGACGTTAGAAAACATTATAGTCTCAAGGCAGTACTAGGACTCAGGGGACACAGACGTTAGAAAACATAGTCTCAAGGCAGTACTAGGACTCAGGGGACACAGACGTTAGAAAACATTATAGTCTCAAGGCAGTACTAGGACTCAGGGGACACAGACGTTAGAAAACATTATAGTCTCAAGGCAGTACTAGGACTCAGGGGACACAGACGTTAGAAAACATTATAGTCTCAAGGCAGTACTAGGACTCAGGGGACACAGACGTTAGAAAACATTATAGTCTCAAGGCAGTACTAGGACTCAGGGGACACAGACGTTAGAAAACATAGTCTCAAGGCAGTACTAGGACTCAGGGGACACAGACGTTAGAAAACATAGTCTCAAGGCAGTACTAGGACTCAGGGGACACAGACGTTAGAAAACATTGTCTCAAGGCAGTACTAGGACAGGGAACACAGACGTTAGAAAACATAGTCTCAAGGCAGTACTAGGACAGGGAGCACAGACGTTAGAAAACATAGTCTCAAGGCAGTACTAGGACTCAGGGGACACAGACGTTAGAAAACATATTAGTCTCAAGGTCACCATGAAGGTTTCCTTGACGGCAGTGAGAACCAATAAAGTAATTTTACTTAACGTCTTCTTCCTCGGATTAAAGTTGGTTACCTTCCACTACCCCCAAGATCCTAATGACCGCTCCGGGTTTAGCAGTCCCTCTCCATCCACTATGACTAAGAACGCTAATAGTCTCAGGGCAGTTAAGAAATAGAACGAGGAAGTGGTATGGCGGGTCGTAGGTATGGCGGGTCGTAGATATGGTGGGTCGTTAGTATGGCGGGTCGTGGGTATGGCGGGTCGTAGGTATGGCGGGTCGTTGGTGTGGCGGGTCGTAGGTATGGCGGGTCGTAGGTATGGCGGGTCGTTAGTATGGCGGGTCGTTAGTATGGCGGGTCGTGGGTATGGCGGGTCGTAGGTATGGCGAGTCGTAGGTATGGCGGGTCGTAGGTATGGCGGGTTGTAAGTATGGCGGGTCGTAGGTATGGCGGGTCGTAGGAATGGCGGGTTGTAAGTATGGCGGGTCGTAAGTATGGCGGGTTGTAAGTATGGCGGGTCATAAGTATGGCGGGTTGTAAGTATGGCGGGTCATAAGTATGGCGGGTTGTAAGTATGGCGGGTCATAAGTATGGCGGGTCATAAGTATGGCGGGTCATAAGTATGGCGGGTCATAAGTATGGCGGGTCATAAGTATGGCGGGTCATAAGTATGGCGGGTCATAAGTATGGCGGGTCATAAGTATGGCGGGTCATAAGTATGGCGGGGTCATAAGTATGGCGGGTCATAAGTATGGCGGGTCATAAGTATGGCGGGTCATAAGTATGGCGGGTTGTAAGTATGGCGGGTCATAAGTATGGCGGGTCATAAGTATGGCGGGTCATAAGTATGGCGGGTCATAAGTATGGCGGGTCATAAGTATGGCGGGTCATAAGTATGGCGGGTCATAAGTATGGCGGGTTGTAAGTATGGCGGGTCATAAGTATGGCGGGTCATAAGTATGGCGGGTCATAAGTATGGCGGGTCATAAGTATGGCGGGTCATAAGTATGGCGGGTCATAAGTATGGCGGGTTGTAAGTATGGCGGGTCATAAGTATGGCGGGTCATAAGTATGGCGGGTCATAAGTATGGCGGGTCATAAGTATGGCGGGTCATAAGTATGGCGGGTCATAAGTATGGCGGGTCATAAGTATGGCGGGTCATAAGTATGGCGGGTCATAAGTATGGCGGGTCATAAGTATGGCGGGTCATAAGTATGGCGGGTCATAAGTATGGCGGGTCATAAGTATGGCGGGTCGTAGGTATGGCGAGTCGTAGGTATGGCGGGTCGTAGGTATGGCGGGTTGTAAGTATGGCGGGTCGTAGGTATGGCGGGTCGTAGGAATGGCGGGTTGTAAGTATGGCGGGTCGTAAGTATGGCGGGTTGTAAGTATGGCGGGTCATAAGTATGGCGGGTCATAAGTATGGCGGGTTGTAAGTATGGCGGGTCATAAGTATGGCGGGTCATAAGTATGGCGGGTCATAAGTATGGCGGGTCATAAGTATGGCGGGTTGTAAGTATGGCGGGTTGTAAGTATGGCGGGTCGTAAGTATGGCGGGTTGTAAGTATGGCGGGTCATAAGTATGGCGGGTTGTAAGTATGGCGGGTCATAAGTATGGCGGGTCATAAGTATGGCGGGTCATAAGTATGGCGGGTCATAAGTATGGCGGGTTGTAAGTATGGCGGGTTGTAAGTATGGCGGGTCATAAGTATGGCGGGTCATAAGTATGGCGGGTCATAAGTATGGCGGGTCATAAGTATGGCGGGTTGTAAGTATGGCGGGTTGTAAGTATGGCGGGTCATAAGTATGGCGGGTCATAAGTATGGCGGGTCATAAGTATGGCGGGTTGTAAGTATGGCGGGTTGTAAGTATGGCGGGTTGTAAGTATGGCGGGTTGTAAGTATGGCGGGTCATAAGTATGGCGGGTCATAAGTATGGCGGGTCATAAGTATGGCGGGTCATAAGTATGGCGGGTTGTAAGTATGGCGGGTTGTAAGTATGGCGGGTTGTAAGTATGGCGGGTTGTAAGTATGGCGGGTTGTAAGTATGGCGGGTCATAAGTATGGCGGGTTGTAAGTATGGCGGGTTGTAAGTATGGCGGGTTGTAAGTATGGCGGGTCATAAGTATGGCGGGTCATAAGTATGGCGGGTCATAAGTATGGCGGGTCATAAGTATGGCGGGTCATAAGTATGGCGGGTTGTAAGTATGGCGGGTCATAAGTATGGCGGGTCATAAGTATGGCGGGTTGTAAGTATGGCGGGTCATAAGTATGGCGGGTCATAAGTATGGCGGGTCATAAGTATGGCGGGTCAAAAGTATGGCGGGTCATAAGTATGGCGGGTTGTAAGTATGGCGGGTCATAAGTATGGCGGGTCATAAGTATGGCGGGTTGTAAGTATGGCGGGTCATAAGTATGGCGGGTCATAAGTATGGCGGGTTGTAAGTATGGCGGGTCATAAGTATGGCGGGTCATAAGTATGGCGGGTCATAAGTATGGCGGGTCATAAGTATGGCGGGTCATAAGTATGGCGGGTCATAAGTATGGCGGGTCATAAGTATGGCGGGTCATAAGTATGGCGGGTCATAAGTATGGCGGGTCATAAGTATGGCGGGTCATAAGTATGGCGGGTCATAAGTATGGCGGGTCAAATGACTCAAGTTGAGAGGCAGGTCACTCGACCTCATAAAAGACAAATCAGAGTTGAGGTACATACATCACTCACCATATCTTAATAACACGATTGTACTCATGTGTATGTACCTAACCACGGAACAGGTGAGGTTTGAATCCATGGCAAGGGAGTCCTTAAACTCTCAGATCAATGCGTTAACCACTCGCCGTGGGCTCAAACCCCACCCGTTCCATGGTTAGATACACACACAAGGAGCAGCGGTCATCTTTGTCTGAAATTGGGAATTCTTTTCGTATTAGCACTCGCTTCCTCTCGTCTTCTCCTCTTCCCCTTCGCCTCACCCCTCTTATTCTTGTCCTTCTCCTCTTTCCATCTATTTGCTATTCTCTCACCCTTTCATTCCTTTCCTCCTATATCGTTTCTTCTCGTCGTAACCTTCTCTTCTCTCCACTATCTTCCGTCTCCTCATCGCAGCCTCCTGTCTCCTTTCCCTACGTCACCTCTTCCTCACAGTCGTAATTCCCCACTCTTCCACCCTTCCCATCATGCTTAAATAATTTCCCTTTTCTTCCACATCTTTTCCGGCTTTACATAGAGCTTTAACACGCCTAACAACTTTAGCGGCTGTAATATAACACAATGAAAAGCACCAGAAGCTAGAGCTCTACACCCGTATAGAAAGCCAGTCTAATAGCTAAAATGTTAATGTAGTATCACAGTCTGACAGATCACTAATACACACATACAATTAATTAATAGCCTCACTGAACTTAAAACTCGTTAAATATCCAATAAAACTTTTAAAAACAGTAGCAGTCAATATATATAATAAAACAAAGATTTTTATTACAAATATAATGCAAGAATTTCTAATAAAATGTGAAAAAAAACGATAATCTAAATTTAGCAAAATTCAAAGAATCATAAAAAAGACGAATTTAAATATTTTTTTTTTCGGATATGTTTTTATATTCTACTATACTGCAAAAATTGCCTTCTCAATTTTAAAGAATTTGGCATCCGAGAAAAGTCCTCCTGGCCCAGTTGTACAGCACACAAAGAGGAGAGGTAAAAATTTAATTGGGCAAACTGGTACGTATGGAAATCACTATCCCAATTTATCAAAAACTTGAAAATTGACACCTAAAGTGCCCAAAATTTATTTTAAACCTTTCGTGCGGTTATGCACACCAGAGTTGATAGTTTGAAGCTGATCAGAAGTGGCATTCTTCAGTTGTCGCCCATGAAAAAAAATATATTTTTAATAATATTGGCAAATATGGGCTTATACAGCTCAATAAACATATGAACTTTTCTTATAAGAAAATACATGAGCGCTGAAAGTTTGAAGCCGATCAGAAGAGGTATTTTCTAGTTACTGCACGTAAACAAATAGAAAAAACTATATTTTATTAACACATCTCGTAGCTGTATGCATTTTGCTGGTCAGGACGCCTGTGTATGTCAGTCTGGACTTCGATTAAACTGTGATCTGAATTAGGTGTTTTTAATATTGTGTGTCTTACCAGATCCCTGAAAATAAGGTCCAGTGTGTTCTCCAGTCTGTTAGCTCCACTATCTGCTGACTTAGGGTGTGTTTATTGCAGAAATTCAGCAGCTCTGTGTGTGTGAGACTTTTCATCTGCGCTGCCTCCACGGATTATTTCTGTTACAACATTATTTGCTATATTCTTCCATTCTGTGTGTCTTAGACTGAAATCACCAAGCAGCAAGATGTTTGGGGATAGGGCCGGAAGGTTTTCCAGATAGTAGTCAATTTTCAATAGTCAGAGCTTAAATTATAAATGAAGTCTCTTTGGCTAGATTTCCCAGCTGACGAAGTTTGAAGTCGTAATTTTAAAGCAAAACTGATAAATTGGCATCAACACACATCGATAACAATCGAAATATTTTTCTAAAAAGGATACGAATGCATCAGGAATAAAAAACTGAATTAGATCAAAGGAAGTTGAGTTATGACTTGGAAATTTCTGTGCTATTTACACGTATAAAATCCGCAGAGTAGCACCCACTCAGTCCATTTTCAACATGAACCTTCTCTTACGTACGATACAACCACGGTGAAAGTTTCAGTTCGATCTGAGAAGGCATGAAAACATTGGAGGAAAAAAACTTCTAGCAGGCAGTATAGATAGGCCCTTTCAAGGGATACTTATTTATTCTATATCAGTCATGATGTTAAAGCTGGAAGTGCTACAGATTTTGAAGTCTAGTCACAGACCAGGTGTGTATTTGTTACCATCTTCGTGAGTAAAGATGAGTGAATATGATAATGGTATACAATACCAACGAGTTGATAAACAAGACACATGAAAGTTTCGGGAAAACTCTTCTCCGGGATAAGGGACTGACCACCAGAAAACTTAGTCTTCAAGGGTGATAGAGTGATTACATCTTTACATCTCTACTGCTTCTGCTGGCTCTGTACTCGACTGAAGAAGCATATCTGAATTATGATACCTAACTGTTGCACATTGTCTTGTGTATTATAGGTAAAAGTCCTATGATAAGACCTCACATTGAACTTTTGAAGATAACAGCCGAAGAAAAGTGTTAAATGAAAAGTAATGAGATCTATAACACAGAAAACCTAGAGTTAAATAAATCACAGAACTGGTGGGGGTTGAACCCATTAGACTCACCTGCCATGGGTTCGAATCCCACCAGTTTTGTCATTTGTTTGCAATCGCCTTATTACGATTTTGTGAGTTTTAAGTTAAATCAATGGAGAAGCATCAGGTGTTATTCGTATGGACTTGTAAAGAAAAATTATTGAAAAAAATTGTGACTAATATCAAGTGCAGCTCTGATATATATAATTAAGCATGTTTTTTAATTTGACCTAAAATTCAAACAACAGAAATATTTATGAAGTTATAATTAGCGATTAAACTTTCAGTATCCAGTGTGCCAAAAAAAAAAATGAGGAAAATATTCGCAAAACATTAAACTACCCAGAATTTTAAGCTCAAATAATTAGAAGTCCTTAAGAGGAAATTCTTCCATGTAAATTCTCTAGAGGTTTAAAATATTCCTCACTTTAGGAGTATTTAATTAAAATGTATTGCAGAAAAAAATATGCTAAAGTTCAATAATGGATTATTCTAAATCAAAGAACATGGAGAATGTAAGTGGAGAGGAAGCAGGATGCTCACCTGTGGTCAGAGAGAGCACCGTGTAGCGCAGCCCGGTAGCTCCTGTACGCTACGTCTTCCTCCCTTCGCACAGCCTGTGGGAAGGTGGTGCACTGTATGTCATGGGTACTTGTGCACTTGTATTCACCAACACAGTAGTAATGACTGACTGTTGCAGTGTCTTGCAAAGTAAATGAAGGCAACAGGTGTTCTTTTATGACTATATTTCATATTACAGACTGCATTATCCTTTTTATTTGTGAGACTGTTGTAACTGTTAGTGCTACCGTTGAATATTTTTTTTATCCGTTGTTCTGCTGAGGTTGTTGCAATTTTAATTGCTAGCCTCTAATTCCGTATTTTTTTTGCAGTTAATATTAAAAGAAATTATGTGAAATCAGTTTGTCATATTAACAAGTGCTAGTTTTGCTAACTATATTTTAGTAAAACAGACTAAGTCAAAATATTTGAGTAAGATATTTCACTGCAGAAATACCAATTAAAATCCTCACCTGTTGCTTGGCGTCTGGGTAGAGAGGAGCTCTTCGTCGACACAACATTTGTAGTGACGCCAGGGAATCGTGAGCCAAGTTCTCTGCTTGAACACCTAACATCCTGGACTCCTCTTCTGGACAGGCCACACCCATGCCACCCCCACTCGTTGGCGTGGAGAGCGCAGCGTCGCATGAGGTGGATGTCTGGCCAGAGACTTCGGCCTTCAGTCCACCCATTCGCTGGTCTGAGTAAAAAAAAAATGAGAATATTATTTTGAGATTAATAAAACGAAAGAGAAGGTGAGAATATTTTTTTTTACTCTTTTGACTATATCTGCTAAGATAAGATCTCTAGCAGTGTCAGTTTCCTGCTCTTCCCTGCCAAGATCCTCAGTAGTACACAAATAACCCGCAATGTTCTAAAACGGACCAAAACATCGTCATAATGTCATATGAAGTTTATCTAAGTATTGCTCCAACCACTGTGTTTAAACTTTTTGTTCTTTATCCCTAGTTGTGTCAGGTTCCCGTCCTTCCTTGCCCAGAAAAGATTCCCGTCGTAAAAGTTTCTTGACGCTACTTTTCTAAATGTTATTGGTGATGACATTAATATTACGCCAACAGCTCGGAAAGAAGACATAAATGCAGTAAAGTCTTAAGTGTACAACGTTCCTCCTAGCACTCTGTCTTTCCGAGTGCCAAAATAGCCCAGTGTTGGGTAAACATTGTACATATAAAGGGCTCCTCAGTATTTTTTTTCCTAAGAAGATTCGTAGTATCAGTTCCTGATCTTGTAAGCTCTGATAGTCATTTTTACCAGCATTAATAGTTGAGTGCTTCAGTAAATACCCCAAGTAAAAACTACAAATTATTCATCTTGTCCCTTCTGCGTCTAAGCACCTGTTGATGTGACAGTGGTTTTAGGTGCGCTAAGAATTTCTGTAGCTGCTCTTCTGCAGCTAAGAAGAATGTAAGATAATGAAGAGGAATGTAACATTATCAAAGACATTTTCGTGAAAAGTATTATACTGCTTGGTAGAACGATCAGCTGACATACCGAGTGTCCGTGGTTTGATTCCCGCCCGGGTGGAAACGTTGGGCATTTTACTTATACCTGCTGCCTATATTCACCTAGCAGCAAGTAGGTACCTGGGTGTTAGTCGACTGTTGTGGGTGGCATCCTGGCAGTATGCCTCACATTGGGCTGGGCTTCGAAATAAGATGAGGTTGGATAACAGCCTGTGTAAAAAAAAGAGGCAACTCGTTACCTGTGTCATACAAATTCTGTTCCTGTTCTTCTTCCAACTTTCCTTCAACTCCCATGTATTATTAACTGCAAATACTATATCTTCCTATTTGTTTTGAAGCTAATGTAACTAGTACCAGCCACTCTGCTAAACTTGACAAATTATGTCCTACTGTGATTTTTATAACGAATTAACTGCGTAAATTTTAATTAAGTATAGTGTAGGTTAAGTTTTGCCGGAGATGAATAAAAGAGACAATACCGTGACTGAAACAATACACAAATATTCTGACTTGAATCATTAACTAGTCAGGCAGAGAAGCGCGGAGGGAAGGGAACCAAGATATTTTCGAGAGAGGGGAGGGAGTCTTGGGACGGCGGAAGGGAGTAGTAATACTAAAAACATTCACACAGAAGCTTATTACTTACATTGCCTGGAAGCAGTAAGAGCAGCCACATATGAGCAAAAGAGGAAATTAAAAGAACATCGAAGAAGTTGGAAAGAATTACATACTTACCTGCGGAGTCCATTGCTTCCAGGACTTACTGCTCTCAGTCTTGATTATATACTAATCCCTCATTTGTCGTACCACTCCCGTCCCCAGCTTCCCCTTTCGTATATATTCTGGGTCCCTTCCCTTCATGTTAGTGTGTGTGGCTGTTTAATGGTCAGAGTCAGATCACAACAAATACAAAAGAGGCCAGTATCAGAGTTTGTCGCTCCATCGTTCATGATTCGAGAACTTAGGAAAACAAGAACAAGAATAACACCCAACAATAAATGGTAGTTTGAATGAAATTATATATGAAGGATGAGATATACTATACGTGAGAGAAACAGCGCATTTGAATGAACCGAGTACGACTCCAAGACAGATAAATTAAACAATTTGCGCTCAACACAAAAACTCTTATTTAATGAAATGGTAGCAAGCCGAGATAATTATTAAGGAAGGTGTCAAATTTAAGAGAAGATTTTCCGAATTTGTCCTAATTTCAACGTCCAAGACCACTGCATAACCAAGAATGTTTTCACTTGGCCAGACTCTTGGCAATGCGGTCAGTGAAGAAAGTGTATCGTGGGGACCGACCATCAAGTTCGCATCTCTTCCAAACTAGGATGTATCAAATACCTTCTGGAACTTATGGTACGAGTAGGGATCGAACCCACGGCACACCCTCTCTCCACTTGTCACAGCTTTAATAGGATTAATCGATCTAGGTATATATCTATACACTAGAGAGGTTAGGAGGAACCCAACTGTTACCTCAAATGGAAGCTATTATTGGTGAATCTCACAGTCATATGTCAGCGACGAGATCACTGACAACGGCTCTGAAATGACTCGAGATTCTGCTTATGGTACGGTATTTAGTGTTAGATCATCCAGGGATATTTAGTTCTCTCTTTACCCCGATGTATATCTTGTTAAAAACTATCCTTTACAATAGTTAGAAGCTTTCATTGAACCTATTCATTTCTATGCATTAGTCACATCTGATAATTTATTCCAATTAACAATATTAATGTCAATAAATAATTTATTATTTATCTGCTCTGTTGTATGAACTGTAGAAGTGTTAATTTGGGTATCACACTTGATATTCATTTTGAAACTTTAAGACTGTGATCACTGCTGGCAAATATGAGTGAGAGAGAGAGAGAGAGAGAGAGAGAGAGAGAGAGAGAGAGAGAGAGAGACATTCCTCGCTGGCAATACGTGACGAAGCCTGCAGATCAACCTTGGTTTAGCTTTCGTCGTAGAGAGGTGGCTACTGCTAAGTACAAAGCATGGCGAAGGTATGAGACATCCTACCACCTATAACAGGAACTTGCACAGGCAAGCCTGTAGGCATACGAGTGACGTTCAAAAGTGGGCCATTGCTAAATGAGAGGTGGACACAAAAAGAAAGCTAGCATCAGCTAGGGTAGGCTCCAAAACCTGGTGGTCCCTGGTCAAGGACAGACAAGATTATTTGCATGATAAACTCATTCCACCTCTAAATCGACAGGATGGGACCACCTCTACTAGTAGTCAAGAGAAGGCGGACCTCTTTGCCGAACACTTTGCAACCAAAATGCAAGTTCCTGATCCAGCAAGGGACCCTCCTTGGCTAGCTGCAAGAACTGTGTCAAAACTGTCAGTGGTGACAATAAGGAAGGAAGAGGTGCATTTCCTTCTTAAATCGCTTGACCAAGAAAAGGCTGTGGGCCCAGACAAGTTGAGCTCAAGATTGCCGAGATGTGCAGACCAGCTAGCAGCACCTCTAACTCGCATCTTTCAGCACTGCCTAGTGCAGTGTAAATGGCCTTCTTTGTGGAAAGAAGAGCAGAGCAGAAATCAGCAACTACAGACCAGTGTCACTCTTGTCAATCACTGGCAAGCTCCTTGAGACAATAATCTCCAGACAAATGACAGAGTTTTTTGACTACCACTCGCTACTTTGTGACCGTCAATATGGCTTCAGGAATGGTTACTCTGCTGCTGATCTGTTGTTAAACCTCTCCACTAAGTGGCATCAGTCACTGGATGAATCTAAAGTCAGCTGTGTGGTAGCACTGGACATTGCTGGTGCTTTCGACCGGGTGTGGCACCAGGGCCTCTTAGCAAAACTGCAAGCTCTGGGAACTGCAGGCTCTACGCTATGTCTCCTCAGTGATTACCTTCATGGTAGATCACTAAGGGTAGTTCTCAATGGAACAGAATCAGCAAGACATCCTGTTGGGGCAAGTGTTCCACAAGGAAGTATGCTGGGACCATTGTTATGGAATGTCTACTTCAATGACCTTTTTCATCTCATCCCAGAATCCCATGCATATGCAGACGACTGTACAATGACATTCACTTATCCAAGAGAAGAAATGCCAGCTGCTCTAAGCTACATAAATCACCAGCTAAGATCTATATTAGCTTGGGGAAATAGATGGCAAGTAACATTTGCACCTGAGGAAACACAAATGATGATGATCTCTAGGCACCATGATGGTAATGCCGGTGCAGTAGTGAGGATGAATGGGAGGGTGTTGGCACTTGGGGAAGACGTAGATATCCTTGGGGTGAAATTTGACTCCAAACTGATCATTAAAAACTACGTTGGACATCTTGCAAACAAGGCAGCCAAGACGCTTACAGCACTTCGCCATATCTCGTATCTGCTTGATAGCAGGGGTTGCAAGATTTTGTAAGAGGCGCAAGTACGCTCACACCTTGAGTATGCTCCACTTTCTTGGTTCGTCTGCCCCCCTTCTCATCTACAACTGCTTGACAGAGTAGAGAACAGAGCAAGACGTCTCATCTCTCTCCTGGACCAATCCTGGATAGATCTGTCATTTCAGCAGAGCCTTCAACACAGGAGGGATGTGGGTGGCCTTACTAAGAGATAAGATAAGATTTCGTTCGGATTTTTAACCCCGGAGGGTTAGCCACCCAGGATAACCCAAGAAAGTCAGTGCGTCATCGAGGACTGTCTAACTTATTTCCATTGGGGTCCTTAATCTTGTCCCCCAGGATGCGACCCACACCAGTCGACTAACACCCAGGTACCTATTTGCTGTTAGGTGAACAGGACAACAGGTGTAAGGAAACGTGTCGAAATGTTTCCACCCGCCGGGAATCGAACCCGGGCCCTCCGTGTGTGAAGCGGGAGCTTTAGCCACCAGGCCACCGGGCCTGGTGGCCAAGTACCACACTTGGATCCACTTCGAGGACAGCGTGAAGCAAGCTTTTATACCACAAAGCAGCAATTTCACTCTGGCTGTACGCTTCTCCAGAACATCACTTCATCTGAGATCATTTATCCTCAGGATGACTCGAGTATGGAACACATTCGTACAGCATTATGATGTCAACGAGATAAAGTCAGTTGATCAAATGAAAATGCTGGCCCACAGATGGCTCCAACTTCATCCTGTACCCTAGTTGTATGTTTCATAACAAATAAAAATGTTTTCAAATAAGCTGATGTAGGTAACGGCTCTTAGCTTGTCAATAAAGTTAGGAATCCCTAACCTGTAAATAGCTTGTCAATAAAGCTAGGTATCCTTAACCTAACCTTGTCAAACCCTGTGTAAAGAGAGAGAGAGAGATAGGAGATAGATTACTTTTAGTTTCACGACGAGGCTGTCTGCTGAAAAGGACCAAAGTAACCATTTTGATATTTAAGAGCAGGTGGTAAAAGTCAGGAACTTATATAAGTGTCGCGGTGTGAATATGTAGAAATATGGGTGGGCAGCGGCGGCGGCGGCTGGGTAGCGGCAGCGGCGGCGGCGGCTGGGTAGCGGCAGCGGCGGCGGCTGGGTAGCGGCAGCGGCGGCGACGGCAGCAGCAGCAACAGATACGAACAGCAGCAACAACAGGAGCAATAGCAGGAGCAATAGTAGTAGCAGCAGCAGCAACAGATACAAACAGCAGCAACAGCAGAAGCAACAGCAGGAGCAACAGCAGGAGCAGCAGCAGCAACAACAACAACTACAGAAAAAAACAGCAGCAACATCAACAGCAGAAGCAATAGTAGCAGCAACAGCAGCAACAACAGAAACAACAGCAACAGCAGGAGCAATAGTAGTAACAATAACAGCAGCAGCAACAGCAGGAGCAACAGCAGCAGCGGCAGCAGCAAATAAATTATTTGTTCTTTTAAAATTGGGAACAAATTACAACTTATAGGGAAAAAAAATGATCTATGGAGGATGAGGTGAACCATAAAACTGACGAGGAGAAAAAAGGTGGGTGGTATATTGAGGTATCTGTGAAGACAAAGAATGTTATCCATGGAGGCAAAAGGGGGAATTATCAGTGGATTGTGATACCAATATTCTTATATGAGTGTACAGCATGGGTTATAAATATTCAACGAGGAGATGGCTGGAGGCATCGTGTTTGAGGGCAATGAACAGTGTGAATATTATGCAGATAATTCATAGTCTAAAGATCAGGAGGAGGTACAGGGTAATGAAAAGTATTATCCAAAGGCCTGAGTATGGGTTATTGTGATGATTTTGACATTTAGAGATAATGGAGTAAAATAGGATAACTTGAAGTGTATATAAATCTATAGGGAAGGTTCGAGGGAGGAGCTTCGACATCCTACAGGCATGTGAGAGTGTGATAGAAGGAGTGAGTGGAAGCAATTGTTTTTTATGACGACGTGCTGTTGGAGTGTGAACAAGGTAGCATTTATGAAGGGATTCAAGAAAATCGGTTAGCCGGACTTGAGTCCTGGAGGTGGAAAGTACAGTGCCTGCACTCTGAAGAAGGGATGATGATGATGATAGCAGTGAGGAGAGTCATCTAAGTGCAGCGGGGTAGTGGATAGTGAAGGGTAGAAGGTAGCAAAAGATTGAGGTAGAAAGGGCTGTGAGGAGTGCTAGAGGCATCATCATCAGAGTCTGTGTAGTAAATCAGTTGCTGTCAAAAAGTCAATGAGAGAGTCTGGGTTAAAGGAGAATCCATCAGCAAGAAGGGAAGGTAAAGTAAGGGCTGTAGAGTGGTGCCGACGTTGTTGGTAAATTCTGTGTGCTCGCTGATAGT